TGACCAGTCTATATCTGACACCAGTTTATGTTTTATGATTGGTCCATATCTTACTGACTGGGTCATGTCATATGACCTGTCCATATCTAGCAAATGGTTCATGTCTTATGACAATTCCATGTCTTATTGGCTGGTCCATCTTATGACCACTTTGCATCTTAATTGTCAGCTTATATCTTAACTATTAAGTCCTGCTTATTAAGAGTCATGGTTATATATACAATTAAAATGCTTTACTGTTATTCACTGTGATGTTAAATGAAAAGAAACCCAAAGCATCACTATACCTACCATTGTAGTTGCCTTCCTCTATGGCATAGTACACCTCACCATTGGTGCCATCATCAAAGTCCACAGCTGTCACTGTTATTATTGACGTATCTATTTGCTCATTTTCTAAAATCCTTCGAGAGTATTGCTGTTTTGTAAACATAGGTGCTTCATCATTGATATCCTCAATGGATATGATCACCTGTAACCATGACAACGAAATAGATGTTATATTCTCAGAGCAAAACATTAAGATATTTATAAATGTTTTGTAAAATTTTGCTCAAGAAAATGTTGACCCTATGTGAGTGTATCACAGACTCAATAGAAAGCCAAAGCTTTTGTAAAATCTTGGTTAAGGTCTGCAGGTGCTCATGTTTGACTTGGCTCCAAAAAAGGGCTTTTAAATTATCATTTGAATAAGAGATGGGTGCACTGTACAAATAGTCAATGGTACTCACAGTTGCTAAGTCATACAGAGTAACGTTAGACTGGATGCCATCAGCGACGTTGCGAGCTTCAATCTCTAACTCATACATGGCTCGACTTTCTCTGTTTAGTTGTTTATTAATTAATACCACACCAGTGTTTTCATTCAGATAAAAATCGTTGTCAGGATTACCATTAATGATGTGATAAAAGATTTTACTGTGTTCCATTACAGAGTCAGAGTCAGTTGCTACAACTTGTCCAACGAGGGAGCCTGGTAAAAAAAAATATCATGGTTAAGTACAAGTACACAATGACAAACACTGACAATAATGGTGTGCATTTCATTTTATAAAATCCAATCTGAAGAATGCCTCTTTCATTTGCATATTAATCATACAAAGCTTTAAATGGAGTGACCTTTGACATATGTTAATTAGGTTTATCAATGAAAATAATGATCTAAAGCAAACCACCTATTCAGTATTTCCTTTTCAATGGAAAAGCTTAAAGTTGATAATCATTATGCAAATTAGGTTAATTTATATGCACAAATGTCAGCTAAAAAAATAATTAGGTCTGCACATAATCCCAGACATCTATGTACCATGTTTCATTGAAATCAGATGATTGGTTCTTGAAATATCAGTGGAACAGATAAGCATGCATGTACACACACACAGACAGGGTAACCACAAAGTCTCCTATAGTGTGCCCCATACACACAAGATACAAATGATATCAATCTCTCTACTTAATTGTCAATTTTAATACTGAACCCCACCATGCACAGAAACAGCAAAATGAAAAAGCCAAGCCATGCATAGCACAGTTCCCGTCACCAAATTTAAGACGTATTGTTTTGTTTATAGTAATATACTATGAATGTAAACATGTCAGAGGTAAGAATCCAGGGGGTAATGCTTAATTATAAAAAAATTTTAACATTAAAATTATTGACATTCAGTTATCTTGTATCTGATCATAAAACGAGTACTTGTTCATATTCAGATATACCCGGTATTGCTCTGGAACAGCATTAATTATAACAAAATAACCACCAGTCAGCCATTTTGAATACATCTGTATATCTATGACATGATGTATTATAGTGAATATATAAAATTTGAACATAATCAGTCAAAGCATGTCACAGATATGGCTCTAGAACTGCATTCATTAAAACAAAATGGCCACCTGTGCGATCTGAAAAACAAAATGATGTACATCAAGGTTACATAACGTCCAAATTATGTACCAAGTTTGAACAAAATTCGTCTATAAATAACAAAATATAGCCACCATTCGGCCATCTTGAATCAGATTGTGAAACAAATTGATGTGCATATGTATAATATTATGTACGATGTATTTGTGAAGTTTGAATGTAATCGGCATGTCTAAGATATAGGTCCTGACACATGCACAGACAGACACACACACACACACACACACACACACACACAGGTCAAACTGCATCCAAACGGCAACTAATAACTAAATCAGTTTCCATGATGTCTTAATTATTTTGTGTTCCTCCATCCCCTCATTTCTAGCAAATAAAATGAGACACTATCATGGCAGATCAACAAATTATTTTTTAATTGCCTTCATTTTTCAAACCTGAAACACACAGAACCAAAGATGAAATCTTACCAACTGACTCATTTTCTTTGACTGAAAACTGATATAATGTGATCGCAAATAGTGGTGCTTGGTCATTGGTGTCTAGCACTCTAATATATAACTGAGTTGTTCCTACATTCCCATCCTCATCACTGGCTTCAATAGTTAGCAGGTATTCTGGTCGACTTTCATGATCCAAAGAGCTGACAGTGGTCAGTGCCCCGGTTTGTTCTGAGAATAAAGTCAATACCATTTATGTGTTCAGATGGATTTCTAGCAGACTCTATAATCACAGTATATAGCATTTATAACAATTTAGTGTACTAATTATGAAAAATTTATATTTTGAAAATCAATTTTCTAACTTGCTGCTAAAAAAAGAGAGTTGAAGATTTTTTTCTTCTTCTACCAACTTAATGAGGTCTCTTTTACATATCAATCAGTATAATAAAAACATTTTTTCAAAATATCAAAACCATAATAAATTTTGACTTCATTTATCAGAGATCTAAGGGAGAGTTAGAATACCAGTTTAGATTCCAGAAATAAACCATTATAGAGTAGGGAGGGGGGTTGCTGTTCTTGAAGCTGATTATGTTTTCATGATTCCAAGACCATAATCTTATCACAAAGATATGAGGATAGTTTTAAAAATAAGGTTTATACCACCTTACCTGACACTGTGAACTCACTGTACAAGTCTGCATCTAATAAAGTATAAGTAATAACAGGATCTTGATCCAAATCCACTGCACTGAATTGATATACCTTGTAAAAACAAATGTATATGAAATGATGAATGTGGAGTAAGAGTTGCACTTTAAAAGAGAAAAGTTGGAAAAATAACTAAACGTCCGTCAAACGTCAAACACAAACATTGCAATACAGTGATACGTCAATTCTAGACTCCACAGAGTACCCACTCGGCAACAAGGAACGTCAAACACAAACATTGCAATACAGTGATACGTCAATTCTAGACTCCACAGAGTGCCCACTCGGCAACAAGAAACGTCAAACACAAACATTGCAATACAGTGATACGTCAATTCTAGACTCCACAGAGTACCCACTCGGCAACAAGGAACGTCAAACACAAACATTGCAATACAGTGATACGTCAATTCTAGACTCCACAGAGTGCCCACTCGGCAACAAGAAACGTCAAACACAAACATTGCAATACAGTGATACGGCAAGTAAAGACTCCAATGATCCCCACCTAATGAGCCAGGGACTTCAGGGGCTGCCACTGCACACCACAGATTAGAAAAATGTCATTGCAATACAGTGATAGGTTAAGTAAGACAATGATTTTGACCTGATGAGACGGGGACTCTAGGGACCCCTGCACACCACAGATAGGAAAGTGTCAATGCATTACATACCAGTGTGCCACCAAAGTCATCTTCACTTAGTGTAACATTGTACATTGCATATGCAAAGTATGGACTATTATCATTGACATCAAGTACGGTAATTAATACAGGTACAGTCACTTCATGATGCTCTACACCTTGGTCTTGAATCTGAAAAACAAATATAACATCAATTGAGATATCAATGAAACCAATTCACCGGTCTGTCCAGGTCTGTAAATTCACTTGTTTACCTTTTTGAATATCAGTTGACTATGGAAACATGGAAACAAAATACATAGAAATCTCACCTTAACGACCATAGATACCATTTCCTTATTACCAAGGGATTCTCTGTCCAGTGAATTTATTGTGAAAATCTGACCATCAGAAGAATTTATGTCAAATAAATCATCTGAAAAAAAATAATAAAATATCAAGTAGTTTAATATCTCTACCTCCTATACCCACTAAACCCATTTCACCCTAGGTGCCATTCTACACTCAATTCGCCATCTGATATCATGTCTATTTTAAGTCAATCTGTCACTTATACCCACTAAACCCACTCCACACTGAACTTGCCATCTGATACCATGTCCAGATTATGCCACTATACCCACTGTACCACTTATACCCACTAAACCCATTTCACCCTAGGTGCCATTTTACACTCAATTCGCCATCTGATATTATGTTTATTTTAAGTCAATCTGTAACTTATATCCTCTAAACCCACTCCACACTAAACTCGGATCTGATACCATGTCTAGATTATGCCACTATACCACTTATACCCACTGAACCCATTACACCCTTTGATGCTATTCTACACCCAATTCACCATCTGATATAATTTCTAGATTATGTCAATCTGTCACTTATACCCACTAAACCCATTTCACCCTTTGATGCCATTATACACCCAATTCACCATCTGATATAATTTCTAGATTATGTCAATCTGTCACTTATACCCACTAAACTCGGCATCTGATACCATGTCTAGATTATGCCACTATACCACTTATACCCACTAAACCCATTTCACCCTTTGATGTTATTCTACACTCAACTCGCCTTCTGATATAATTTCTAGATTATGTCAATCTGTCACTTATACCCACTAAACCCATTTCACCCTTTGATGCCATTCTACACCCAATTCACCATCTGATATATTTCTAGATTATGTCAATCTGTCACTTATACCCACTAAACCCATTTCACCCTTTGATGCCATTCTACACCCAATTCACCATCTGATATATTTCTAGATTATGTCAATCTGTCACTTATAATTATACCCACTAAACCCATTTCACCCTTTGATGCTATTCTACACTCAACTCGCCTTCTGATATAATTTCTAGATTATGTCAATCTGTCACTTATACCCACTAAACCCATTTCACCTTTTCGTGCCATTCTACACCCAAACTCACTATCTGATATCATGTCTAGACTATGTAAAACTGTCACGCGTAACTTACCTTCTGATACTTCACTTATTATATACTGTAAAACTCCATTTGCACCTGAATCTGCATCATGTGCAACTACTGTACCAACAGCAGAGTAAACAGGTACATTCTCCAGAATTTCAAATCGATAATTTGCAGCCCCTGGAATGGGGACATTATCGTTTACATCAAGAACATCCACAATCACCTTAAGATAAATAAGAAGAAATGAAAACTTGTGAAGATTAACAGCAGTTAAAACAAGCAGTTTTAGGTAGTCATAAAGCCTTCCTATCACAAAACCAAAGCTATTGCATGCTCAGTGATTGAGATTTGTTGGTGTTTTTCTACAACTTAATACTATCCAGTTAAAGCGATACAGCCATCATGGTTGTCGTGATGTGCAAGTTCAAATTTTGCGTAAACATGATACAGGTATTTGACACTCCAAGGCACTAGCATGTGAATCAGTTGAAGTGAGAATCTTACCAGAACAGAGTTTTCTCTACGATCGCTAGACAAACCGGTGGGATTGTCTTTGGCAGTGACAGTCAATGTGTATTCAGATTGAATTTCTCTGTCTAAGCTATGAACCAGTGATATTGCACCCTGTAATGTAACAAAATGTTATCAGTGTACATCAAATCTCTTAGTAAACTCACATCCTTAATAAGAATGTACTAACTATGTAATAAGCATTCATTTCACCAGTGTACATCACATCCCTTAGTAAACTCGCATCCTTAATAAAGAATGCACTACCTATGTAATAAATAAGCATTTGAACTGTCAATTTCCCAGGAAATGAACACATTGTAGCATGTAAACTCCTAGAACACTTATGAGTTACCGGGGTAAGTTCCACATGGTATTTTTCCTATGCACTATTACATGCTTAATAGTTAAGCAGGTCTTATTATTTTTACTGTGCCCATGTTACATGCTTAACATAATAAATATGTCTTGTTTTTTTGACTGTGCCCATGTTACATGCTTAATAGTTAAGCAGATCTTGTTATTTTTACTGTGCCCATGTTACATGCTTAACATAATAAATATGTCTTGTTATTCTGACTGTGCCCATGTTACATGCTTAATAGTTAAGCAGGTCTTGTTATTTGGACTGTGCCCATGTTACAGGCTTAAGATAATAAGCATGTCTTGTTATTTTGACTGTGCCCATGTTACATGCTTAATAGTTAAGCAGGTCTTGTTATTTGGACTGTGCCCATGTTACAGGCTTAAGATAATAAGCATGTCTTGTTATTCTGACTGCCCATGTTACATGCTTAACATTTATATAAGCATGTCTTGTTATTTTGACTGTGCCTACAGTGTACATGTATGTGCAACAAAACTAAAATCAACCAATATGTTGAAAATATAATCATTTAAAATCAACTTACTGTTATCTCATCAACTGTAAATTTCCCAGCACCTCCAGCCAACATATAGCGCACTTCACCATAACTACCACTATCAGCATCCGTTGCTATGACAACCAATATTTCAGTGCCAGCGATGGCATTTTCAACAACGGATGTTTCATACAAGGACTGTCTGAATATTGGATTGTTATCGTTGAGTTCCAGTATTTCTACAAACACCGGGATTTGGGAGTACCGAGGAGGGTTTCCGAAATCCCAGGCTTTAACAGTAAAATTCAGCCACTGATAAATTTCTCTGTCCACTACTCCATTAACTGTGATCACACCTTAGGGGAAAAAACATAGCATGCCTATTACAACCTTGCTCATTATTATCTAGAATAGATGTGTGTTTTTATCACACAGTCAGATACCCACCAGTGTGAGGATATAAAGAACATAAAAGCTGGCACTCTTATCTGGTCAAGGGAATGAAAAAAGTACAGAGGCTGGCAGGATAAGGGTTCAGATAGTTGCATGGCTACCATTAGTTTGACATTAAAACTTCTCAACAGATTAGTTTGACATTTGCCATATACCCGGTAGCTTTATCTGTTGATAACAAAGTATAGTCGCTCAAAGGTTTAAACATTACAGGCCTTAATTTTGTCATTCTTCACAACAATTATTACAGCATTCCTGACAACGAGTTAATGATGTATTTACCTACGGCAGGGTCACTGATTTGCAACAAATCTGTTTTATTGTCAACAATCTCATAGCGAACCATTCCTTGTAAACCTTTGTCTCTGTCCAAAGCAGTGAACGTTGTAACAACTGTATCAAGAGGACTTTGTTCAACAAGTTGTTCATGTATGTACTCAAGCCCTGGTGGTTGAAAGACTGGATCGTTGTCGTTCACGTCCAGTAGATGTATTGATACTTCAGCTGTAAATAAACTTAATGCATTTAATTACAATATACAGTATTGTATTGTGGTAAAACATTATGACTCACATTAGCAATTCAGACTGCTACATGAACACATGCTCGACTATAATGGATGGTAGTAATGTACAATAACCACCCTCACAAATAGTTCTCATATCAATTCTTAATTATATGAATATATACTATTCCCGTTGCAGAGCTACGTCACAGATGTTCCACGTTGCTAAGACGTGCACCCCTGTACCATGTATTTCTATGGGCACTGCACAAGCTGCTGTGGAACACTGGTCGAAAAGCCAGTGAAAATACAGCTAAAGTCGATGAAAGGGACAAACTCAACTTTGAATAATACAGAGCAATCATATTTATATTTGTTGCACATGTACTGGTAATCCTGTTATGCTGTTCAGCAGAGTCTGACCAACTATCCCAAAGTACAGTTTTCAGTGAATGCCCACCCCGAGAATAACTTCAGAAACTGGAACATAGTTGAACATACACTTTCAAATAACATTTCTGTGATTTCTGCCTATACTCAATGCATGAATTAGCAGCAACTTACCATATTTGCTTTATTAAAAGTGAATCTCTGATAAAAGCATACGTGACCAGCAAATATCGCTTTGGAGTAATTTTAAATAATTTATGAAAAAGAGGATGTTTTCAACTGTGTAATTCTCAAATTCTGCTCTAGTGATATTATCCACTGATACAAATACAGTTTAGTATAAATTTACATTTGGTGAAATAAATGATAAATTAGATGTGAAAGATACAGATGAATTGAGAACTCACCATTGGGGTTGCTATGTCTACTGCCATTGTACTGAGATGATAAATCAACAGCTGATATAGTGAGTTGAAATACGGATACATTCTCCCTGTCAAGAATGCCAGCTACCTGGACGGTACCTGAAAACTCATTGATCGAAAACCAATTCTCATACAAGTTGGAGTCTGCAACAATATTGTCTTCCTCATCAATGGCTGCTATGGAAACGATAGAATACTGCAAAAGACTGTCAAAATCTGGATCCACTGCTATCACCCAAGCAGCAGTTGTTCCAACTGGGCTGTTTTCACGGAGGTAAAAATTCTGAGACAGGACAGTAAAAGATGGTGGTGTATCATTGATGTCACCAACAATGATGGAGACGGTTCCGGTACCTGATTGAGAAGGATTCCCCCTATCGGTTGCTATGACAACCAGGGTATACTGATCTCTCTGCTCCCGGTCCAATGTCTCACCTGGAGCAACCTAAAATAATTAAGAAATAACCTGATATTAATAACAATTCACAAAAGTAATATTTCCCACCAATATATTGATGAAATATTTTGCATTTTTTGAGTAATTTTATATTTTTAGACCTTATATTAGACCTAAGAATTTTTTTTTTTTTTGCCCAAAGGTTGTGATGAAAAAATTTCTGAAAAGTTAAGAGGAATTATTATTTTATTTTATAATATCTTGTTCAATTTTAGACAAAACGAACATAATATTTTATTAGCTACAGGTTTTGATCAAAATTGTTAAAAGAAAATGACAATTTTTTTTTAAAAGGGACAAAAGTTGTCTCTGGCGCTCCAAGTGTTAAATACCATCTATAAATAGAGTTACAAGGCAAGAAGGAGATTGTAACACTAGCTATACTCACTTTAATGAGTCCAGTGTTTGGATTAATAGTAAACTTATCCTGACCACCACTCTCCACGCGGTAAGTAACCTCTTGATTAAGACCGATATCAGCATCAATGGCCAATACTTCCATTACCACATGACCTACAAAATAATTCACAAACGGGTGGTATATTTATTATTAGCGTGTATTTGCTCTAATTTCAATTTCAAATTCAAGGTTTTGTCTTACCAATCAACCCACAAGATAAATTTCATTTGCAAATACCTAGGGAGTCCATAGCACAAGGGGTCAGACTCCCCTATTCTAATATTAAGACTCTCTAGTTTGACACTCTTTAATATGTAAGTTTCAGATTACGACATACTGTGGTAATTTGACTCAATAGCGAGCATCAAAATGTTTCCCAATAAGTTCAAAAAATATTCACCCTTTACAGGTATGCTGCAATTAATACTAGCCTAGGGGGTACAAAATAGTATCCACAAGTAACTTTATCACAATGCAGTTGCAACTTAGGGGGTATGAAATTAACTTCGTTGCTTGGAAACTCTCCAAAAGTAATAACAAATAAGGGTGCTGGGGAAAATAAATTAATGACATCACATAAACTCACCTCCTACAACATTTTCTGGTATAAATACCGTCATATTGCTTGGTGTAAATACAGGACTATTATCATTGACATCGACAATATTCACTACAATCTCAGCACTGCTGTTCAATCCACCAATATCGATTGCTGTTACTAGAAATCTGTAAATATTTTCAGCTTCCCTGTCTAAGGAATTTGTCTCCTTGACATGTATAGTTGCTAAAATGGAAAAACAAACAAAATTCCTGAAATGCTACCAGGTTTTTTCCTGTGAATTTGAAAGTTAAAAAAACTTGTTGAAGTAATAAACTTTAACTCAAAATTGCTACCAGCGTAGAATTGAATCTTATGGGGCAATTCACAGAGTCAGGGAATTCAGGTACCTCATTTTTTTATTTTCATTAAGGTACCTCATTCTTTTATTTGCTCTTTTTCAATTATCTGTTTGAATCTTTTGCAAAATACTATAATAAATTAGTTTTTATATTCTCTGCATTTCTACACGTTAGCCACATCTATTCATAAACAAATGTAAATAATATGCAAATTAGTTTCAGTACCTGTGTGTTGATGAATATAAAAGTATTGTGATCCATTTCCACTGATTGAATATGTAATCACAGAGTTATTACCGAAATCGGCATCCACAGCAAGTACAGCATCATCCTATGAATAAACAAATCAACATCTCAATCCTGTCTGATGGGGGAAAAAATCAACACACAATATTGCAGTGTTGGTGCTCCAGGTACATGTACCAAGGGGAAGGGAGTTCTTTATTTTGGTTCAGGATCCAATACCTTACATATTACATTTTTCTTTATTTTCCAGGCCTTCATTAACCTTTTCACCAGCAGACTTTCTCGCCCAAATGTTTCTGCACTTTTTTTCTTATATTCTCCAATATTTCTGGAAATGAACCCAAATTTTGGAGCCAACAGACAAAATTTGAGTCAATTTTCAGTTTTTACTCAAAAAATTTGGCTATTTTTGTCCCAATTTTTTGAAGGAAATTGCAGACTATAAATGGGACTATTTTGTGAATTTGTGATGAAAAGAGGGAACTGGTGGTGAAAAGGTTAAAGCATTTAGGAATACAAATAATAATAATTAAAATATTCTGTTATTACAAACAAAAGTCTTCAATATTATTTAGATTTTATTCTCAACAAAAAATAAATCTGTTATCCATTGAATAATTTGTTTTCATTTGACACCCCTTCAAATATAATGGTTCATCCCTCTATAAACAAAGTACAAGTTATTATTATTATCTTACCATTGTAACAGTGTTATCTTCCTGTGAGTTCTCTTCAATGTGCCCGGAATACAGTGACTGTGTAAAGGTTGGAATCTGGTCATTCTCATCTAACAAGGTGACAATCAACTCAGTACCATCCTGTAAATTGAAACAAAAATAATTAACAGATTAAAGAATTCCAGTTATCCAAGCCCTCAGAGCTGGGATGAAATTATCATTACTCAGAGGAAAGAGCAATGCTGCTGATGTTAAGGCTTACTGGGATATACAAGTAGAAAAAAAAGCCCCAGCTTTCCACTGTGTGTCTTTATCCTGCCAGCCCCATGTAACTTTACATCGATTTAGCATGAAAAGAGTTTTGCACATTGAACAGAAATAGCTATGGGAAAGGTAATTTTTATCATCTTGATTCTCCAAAATGTTATGATGTGTGGACAGAATGTTAGATGTAGACTAATTTACCTTGCAGGATCAAATACATAGCCTTTCACTAGATAAACTTATTTGATATATACTGCTGAGGGAACAATTCCTTTACAGATTGACTATATAGCCACTATCCCTGCCACTAAAATGAACAATAACTTATACCACTGAGGGAACAGTTGCTATACAGAATTCAGACACACAAATAATTAATTTTTGGATTAAACAGTAACAGTATATGTGGATATATTATTAATAACATCATGAAAAGTATTTCCAAAAAAACATTACAGATTGCCAAAAATCAAATGCACATGAAAATGTAAGAAAGGCTTTTAATGATTGGCTAGATGGTTAGGTGTGAGTGTTTGCCAACCTGTGTATTAGCCAATAAAAGACAATCTAGTAACTCACAAGTACTAGCCAATCAAAATGTTTGTATTAAAACTTACTCTTCTAGCATTGGTTGGATTCTCAGGGTTGTCTTTTGCTGTAACTGTCAATATATACATGGACGTTGTCTCTCTGTCTAACT